AAAAGGGACTTCCCACCACTTGGTGCTGGATTCCCAGGAAGCCATTTCAGAGGAGCTGGAGGGTGTTTGGGGCTGGCAGGGGGGCTGCAAGAGAGCTGCTGACAGCTTTGGTGAGGATGGCAGGGTTTGCACAGCCAACCCAGGTGGAAGAGGCTCCTGCCAAGCCAGAACATGCACTTCCACCAGAGCTGTGGGGCTAGTGAGGACCTGCTCACCAGGCCTGGATGTGCACGTAGCACATCAGGGCACAGACATTCCCCTGGGGCTGTGGCAGGGTGATGTGGTGTGGTGGTGGCATCTGGCTCCAAGCTGTGTTGGAAACCTCCTAGGTACCGGCTGGGGGTCTGTCCTCACTGGCCTGTTGGATCCTTTCTTGGGATCTACACAAGGTATGGCTCTCTGCAGGGATAAATGTGGTGTCAGTTATTCATCCTTTGGCCTTTCCATGTCATCAGCTCTTTGGGCAGTACCTATTCCAAAAGGAATGCTCAGCACCAAAAACAAGAAGACTGGGCTGATCTTGGGACCCCCAGGCTGTGGGTGAAACACTGCCAGACTCTCATTTCTGGGGGGAAGTAATCTGAGAAAGGGAGGAAAAAGAAGACTGTGGTATTTAGCTTGGAAAATCCCAACAACCTGCCCTTGCATTAGCTGCAGAGCCGAGGCTGCTGGGAACTGGAGGCAATGCAATTCCTATCCTCCGAGGACTGACACAGAGGGAGGCTCATGGCGTGGACTCACCCATGCATTAGAATTGCTTAATTTTCTTGACATTCAACAAAACCCTGAGACATCGTGTTCCTGCTCCCACCAGAGCAGTGAGACATCCCAGCCCCAGAGCACAGCCATCCCAGTGCAGCCCTGGGGAAAATACGCAGAAAGTCAGGAGGAGACTGGAGCATCCCGGGAAGCCCAGAGTAAATGGCAAACAGCCAAAGGCAAACCCTCCCCCAGTGTGTTTCTCTCCTCTGGGGGAGAAACACACTGTGCCTGCCAGGATGTCAGCACTTCACTAGCAAAGACCTATGAGTCTCTACCTGGGGCTTGCCCCTATCTCCTTGCCCTCTGGGAGGTCTGGGAGGGGACAGAGGCGCCCTCTCAGTCTCCATGCCCTTGCTGCACCTGCAGCCCCATCCCTGCCTGCCCTATCAGGGCAGTTCTGCAGGGCCTCTTCCCATCCCAGTCCCAGACTGGGAAGAGAAGATCTTGGCCACATACATGTTGTGAGCCAGAGCCCTCTTCCAGACCCAGAGAAGACAAGGGAAAGTGTAAAATCATGCAGTGTTCCCTGTAATGCCTTATTCAGCAGCAGCTTCCAAAATAAACACCAGGGGTGTTCAACGAGGCCAAAATCTCCATCTGTGTTTCAGACAGGCGGCAGTGCTACCATAGCACCCCAGGAGCATCACACCCCACCCCCATGACAGCCTAGTGGCTGCCCAAGCCCAGGGGCTATTGGTGGCCAGGTCTGAGCCCCCAGAAAGTGCTCCTGCCTTAGGGGCTATAGGGTTATTCTCCAGAAAAGCTTTCTTCATAGCATCCTCAGGAGGCACATCACTTGCTGCATCCTGCCACAGCGGTGGGACCAGATGGTCCCCTGCCACTGCAGGCACCAGAGGCTGCTCATCCATCCCTATAACCCAAATTTAAATCCTTCCCCAAATGGCTTCTCACTGAGCCTGCTATCACCAGACCCCTGGAGAGGTAGCATAAAACCTGTGAAAAAAACAAAAACAGAAACAAAAAAACCTGTGAAAAGCTCCTGCTGTGGCACATCAAACCCTTGGTGACATTCTCTTGGTGAGCACAGCACACATCATGTTCCTCGGGACTGGTAGTTGGCTGCACTGGTGGAGAAGTAGCTTCTCCATCCTTGTAGCTGCTCCATCCTTGTACCTCCTCCATCCCACCAACAGCTCCTTGGGCTGGCCACTGATTGTGCAAAAACATCAGCAACTGTGGCATCACCATCACATGCACTCAGCCTTCTGATGTGCCTGAAGCCTGGCTCCTAACTTCAGCTGAGATAGCCAGCGCCCCAGGGCTTCCTGGCAGGATCCAGCCTCACCCACAGGCATCTGCTCACCCCTTCCTTGTGATGAGGCCAGAACACCCGGTGCTGCTGTCACACCCCCATGACCCATCTCCTCCCACTCTCCAAATCGTGCTGGCACTGGTCACACTTTGATGAATCCCTCCATCCTCAGGCAGGGAGCTCTCACACACACACCCTCTCCATTCCCTTCCCCACTCCCTACAGTCCCCTCAAGTCCCTCTTCTCAGGGCTTATCCCCACTTTGCCAAGACTCAGCAGTATCTCCCCATTTTTATCCCCACAGCAGCGCATCCCCATAGTTCCTGGTTCAAAGCTGGTATTCCTCAGGGCAGGCCACCCCTGGAGCCCCTCTCTCCCAGTGACTCTCTTTGGGCCCCTGGGTACAATGGGGAGGAGTGTCACCCCCTCCAGCACATCCCGAGGGTTTCCATCCCTCCCTATCCAGCTGAGCAGTATCCCCTTTGCTCTCTAGTGCCTGGAGGGAAGCCCACAGCGAGCCCAGCCCTCCGTCCATGTTCTCAGCTTACACACATGCCCCGAGTCTGTCAGTTCTCATCCATGGTGAGCATCCTACAGGGCTGTGGGCTAATGAAGGTGCATCCCTTTAAGGGTTAAAAGTTTTCAGGCCCCCATCCCACCAAGCAAAAAGCTTTCATGCTCTTAACCCCTTCCTGCACACCGCTTCTCCCCACTCCAAGCTTTTGCCACCCCAATGGATCCGATCTGGTTTGAGTTAAGGCTTTGTGTGCGCCCGGCTCTGACTTTCGGCAGAGTAATTTGAATAACAAGACTAATTGGATTTATAAAGCACGGCCCTCCCTCCCCCCCACCCCCCAAACCCGAGGCTCTGCACAGCGTGACAAAGAAAATACACTAATGAAAACCACGCTGGTGAGAGCCGAGGGCAGGGACAAGCCTCCTGCGGGCTGGCGGCTGGCTGAGACCTGACCGCGTTGTGGCATTTGTGGCAACACTCTAATACTCCGGGGCGAGGGGCTGGTGGAGCAGCTCTGGGACCGACCCCAAGGCAAGCGAGGCAGCCCTTCCTCCCCGCTCTGTGACATTTCCCCCTCCGCCTGCCCCGTCTCCTTCCCCGTTCCGGGTCCCCCGGGAGAAGCCGCAGGGCAGGTTGCCCGCAGCATCAGGGCAGGAGCCAGCACAATCAGGATGGTGAAGGCAGGACCCTGTGGGGTCTGCTGAGCCGCTGGTGACCTCGGGCACCCCGACATCCCCAGGTTGTGGAGCCCCAGGGCTCAGCTGCCTGCTGCTCCCCTTTCCCCTGCAGAAGCCCTGCTGACGGGGGTAGTGGTACAGAGCCCCCCTCCTTTCCCCCCAGAGAGGCTGGGTGTCACATCCCAGCTACACTTTGGGTGGGACGAGGGCTGAACCCCAAGAGAAGGGGCCTCTCTCTGCTCCTTGCCTGCACCCACGGCTCCCTGGCACTCGAGATCGGCTCTAATCCCAACTCCATCACCTCGCTCTGCCTGCACGCAGACAAATGCCCAAGCACAGCTTCACACTCCAAAAAGTCCAAGTTGTCTCCACCTGGCAGGCACAATGGAAAAACCACCGAGACCTTCACCTTCCAGCTCCCGTTCACATGGAGTTGAAAAGCCAATCTCCTTTGAAGTGTCCCGTGCACAATAGCCCGGGCTGCGGAAAAGGAAACATCTCCCTGCTCCTGAACAGGGGATACCACGGACCCCCAAAGAGACATCATCCCCCAGCAGGGGCAGGTCCTTGGGGATTTGTGGAGCAGCAGAGTCCAGAAAGACCAAGAAACGGAGCAGGAGGAAAGGGCCAGACTGGAACAGATCCCAGGGATAGGGGGAAGAGCAGAGATTGTTTCCCTGGTCTCAGGGAAGAGATTTGGGGTGCAAATCCAGCCTGATGCAATTCAGCCCTGCATACTTCTACAAAGAGGAGGTTGTCTTTCCTCTGTCCTGATCCCAGTAAGAGCATCCCTCCCGGACAGAGTGCCAGGGATGGTGCTAAGCTCCATCAGCAAAAAGCCAATGGAGCTTCAGAGCTGCCCAGTGTCAACCACAGCAGCAGCAGAGGCACAAATCCTGCCCTCCCAGATGTTGAAGGGGAAGGGTGAGAGCAGGGGGGAGCCCGCACCAGGTATCCAGAGCCCCTGCAATCCACTGGGATTAATCCCAGGATCACATCCTTCTCCTGCACCCTCCAGCTCCAGGAGCAGGTCGGAGGAGGCCAGACTGCACAGCCCTGTGGTGGATCAGCCAATGGGGTCCTGTCCCCAGCAGGGACCCTGTGACAGTGACTGTGCACATCACCAGGGTGCTTGAAAAGCCCCATCTCCTGGCCCAGGGACCCCATGAAGCTCCTCATGAAAGTGGAGAGAGCGGGTCACCCCCTCCAAGCTGAGGGACCCACTTAGGTGCCCTCAAGGAGTGCCACTGCCCCCTCCCATCCCCCTGAGTCCCCAGTGTCCCTGCCAGGGAGGGCAGTGTCCCTGCTGCTGCCAGGCAGGGACCTGGGAGGTCCGATTTATTCCTGGATGTGGAAAAAAAAGGTGCTTTTTTCGCTCATTCCTGTCTTTTGGGCTTAACCCCCCACCGGGACCACCCCCCCTCCCGCCTGGCCTGTGTTCTTCTGGGGGGGGTCACCGAGGCGGTGGGGGGAGCAGAGGGGCCGTGGGGCAGCCGGGCAAAGGGAGGGCAGACGGCTTTTGCAGGGGGGTGGGCCAGGGCGTGTTTTGGTGGGAAGGGCAGGGGCCACGAACAGCCAAATGCCCCCCGCTTTCCCTTTCTGCTTTCCAAGTCTCAGAGCTGGTTGCCTTGGGCTGATGTGTCATTTGTTCCTGCCAAGGAAGAGGGGACACCCCCCCACACCCCCCCTCTTTAAATTCCTACTATTGTGAAGTGGGAGGCACGTTGGACCTGGTGTTTAGATGACATCACCGAGCAGGTTGGGTTATAAAATGAATGAAGCAGAAAGCCCAAGTTCACAAGCTCGGCACTTTGCAGGCGGCAGGAGGGACCTCGCGGCTCCGCTCTGAACTTTGACTCCCGTCGGTCCCGGCCTCTCCCCGGGGCTGCCCTCGGTCCGCTGCCCCCCCGGCTCCCTTCCCGCCCGGCCCCGCAGGATGCAGATCTCATCCTTGCTGCTGGTGGACTTTTTTACTCGCGCTGCTCCTCCGTCAGGCTGGAGGCGAATGCCGGCGTCTCAGCTCCCACAGAAGGTACGGCGGGGGCTGCCCTCGGCTCTCCCTCCTCCTCCCGTCCCGCTGAGGGCCCTAACGGCACAGGGAGGGGACGTGGGGTGACTGTGGGGTGGCAGAGTCAATGCAAAGGGGGGTCCTTCTTTCTCCACGGGCTATTTGACTGCAAAAGGACTCCCTGCTTCTCTGGGCTGTCCCAAATGCGCGTGGGGACATCAGCCCCAGACTAGAGGCTGGAGGGGGACACTGTGTGCCCTGTACCCCGCGGGATCAGCGCCAGGAAGGGTGGCAGTCTGGTCCCCGGCGTCACCCTGGGGACCCTGCTATGCTGGGCACTTGGGAAGGGGAGCAGAGCCAGAGCAGGGCAGGCAGCAGGTGCACGGTGGGCACGGTGAGAGGCAGTCCTGACCAAACAGCCCAGGCAGGAGCATCCGGGGTGTCCCCCGGGGAAGGGGTGCCTCAAATGGGGGTATTCCAGGGACCTGGATGTCCCGAGATGCTGAGGAAGAGGGATGCACCAGAGGCCACCTGCACTGGGTGGCACTGCCCAGAGGGCCGAGCAGAGATGGGGACACAGAGTGAGAGGTGCCCCAGCAGTGGGATAGGAGTGGTGGCTTCCTTGTAAGGAACTGGGGTGCAGGCTGCAGAAAAAGGGGTTATATGAGGTGGGTTGTTGGGGAGGTGAATGAAGGTGAGCATTCCCAGGGCTTGGTAAGCAGAAGCTCCGAGTAGGGAGACAGATGGCCTGGGAGATGGGGGGCAGAGATGGAAGGGGGTGTGCCCCCCTAATTGTGGGTCAGAACTGGAAGAGTGGGGGCACCCAGAGAGTATTAACTAGGGGAGGGAGCAGGAAGGAAAGGGAACCCAGATCTCCACATCACTGCTGGGGACACTCTGCAAAGCAGCGGTGCAGGGGGAGCTGGGGGGCAGGACCCCTCCACCATAATCTGAAGAGCTCTGTGAACTGGTGGGGGACGCAGTGACCGAAGGGACCTGAAAGGAAAGGACCTGCCAGCTTTCAGGCCCCTTCAGATCAATGGCAGAGGACAGGGTGACAGGACAACGGGATAGTGACAGCAGCACAGCCGGGGGTGCAGCACCACCGGCCCTTTTGAGGGGACATGCAGTGACCGGGGCACTGCCGGGAGAGGGCAGGAAGACACCGCTATGGTGTGGGTCAGGGGGATGCTCTGACACCAGGGAAGGGAGCATAGATTTAGGGAGGAAAGAAGATGCCTTGGGCACAGCCGCGGGGTGATGGGCTGCGCTGCCGGGCACCGACCCCAGTCCTGGGTTTGCGTCGGCGGGGGGGTGGTGGTGACACACGGACCCCGCTGCGCGTCCTTAACGGGGGGTTCCCAACACCGGCGGGGTCGCTGGGGGCGGTGGCGCTCTGACCCTCTCCCCTCTCCACAGGCGTCCCGCGGGGTCGGCGGCGCAGCGAGCAGCGGGCGGCGGCGGGTCCGCCCGAGCGCGGAGCGAAGAAGGAGCGGGAGAAGGAGCGTTAGAGAAGGAGCGGAGCGGCGGCGGCGGGTTCGGGCCCGCGGCGAGCGCTGGAGGCGTCGGGGCCGAGGCGCGCCGCGGTGGCGGCTGGTGCGCGTGCTGCAGGACCCGCCGGGCCGCCGCCACAAGGGCCTCCACAGAAGGGCCCTGGCAGGGCTGCTTCGCGGCTCAAGCTGGATCGCATCGGCGCGCCATGAGCGGCCTCGGATGCTGACGGGACCCCTGGCGGTGATGTGCGCGGCCGCGGGCCGGATGGGCCGGGATGGGGCCGGATTGGGCCGGGATGGGGCGGAATGGGGCCGGGGGGCTGCGCTCCGCACCGCGGAGGGATGCGCGGGATGCGCTGCCCCGCGAACGCGAGATGCCAGCGGGCGGGACTGCAGGGGGTCGTCCCGCTGAGCTTCGCAACACCCGGCGTTGGCGGGTAAAAGAGATCCCAAGTTGGCCTTAATTGCGTTGCCACCCTTCCATCACCCCTCCTGCTGCCTTGCAGAAGGATCAGACCCCAGCTGCTCCCGCAGCAGCTCAAGCTGGATTCCCCCTAGTTTGAGCTAAACCCGTAGGCTCCGGGGAGGATGCAGGAGGAGCTCCAGTGCAGCCACATGTTCCCAGTTCCTCCCTATGCTTGACACACACGTTGGACCTGTGGGTAGGTGTTAGGAGGGCAGGGTACCCCGTGAGCCTGCAATGGGAGGGTTAGTGAGCCTCCTGTCTCAGCCACGCACCAATGCTTTTAATGTGAGGAAAAACAATACACAAGTTCCCCAGGTGTCTTCTAGTTCTGCTGACTGCCAAGAGTTGCACTTCCCAACTCTGGCTTTGTATCTGAGCAAGTTATGGGAAGCTTGGAGAAGTTCTTCCCACAGTGCTCCACAGCCACTGCATAGGGATAGAGGGGTGAAGGAAATGCCACTTCCCCACAGTGACTGGTTTGGGAGAAATCTGGCAGTGCCTCCCCTGCCAGCTCTCCCTGAAGGTGCTGGGGGCCATGAAGCTCTGGCCTGGCCCTGCCCACAGGTCACACGCAGATGAACTCACAGCAGGGGAAGCACTTGTCTGCTGCAGCCCAGACCATTCCCTCTTCTTCCCATGGCACAGCACTGCCCCACTCACAAGGACCTGCCCTGGCCCTGTAGTAACACAACTGGGCACAGAGGGGACCGGATCCAGCATCCTGCTGCTCTGCAGAGCAGTGGGAAGAGCATGGCCCAAAGGATGCCATGCTGGTCCATGGCCTGTCCTGGAGGGATGTGGGCTGCTCCCCAGCCTGTCCTGGAGGGATGAGTGCTGCTTCCCTGCTCCCTCATGTAGAGGCTCCTTGGTCTTCCCAAGGAATCACCCAGCTCAGGGCTCCAAGAAGCACACACACACACCATGAAGCCAGCTCATATGCATCTGCCCTTGTTAAATCATTAGGAAAAAAAAAGATTTCCAATAGATGCAGGGGCAGGAGGAGCAGCAGCTTCTCTCAGCCTCTCCCCTAAATACCAAACAGCCAGAGAGCGAAGGGTGAGCTTCTTCCTTGCTTTAGCACAAGCAAAAAAGCTCAGGGAGGGCTTCTGCTGACTTCAGCGTCCCCCAGCCCAAGGCCAGGGTTACTCTGACAAAGGTTTCAGCTTGGGACAGGTAAGGGATGTTGTATGGCAACTACTAACAGGCACTTTCTTTTCCTTCCTCACAGGGCTTTGAATCCATAGTCCACTTTCTCCTACCACGCACGGCCAGGCACGGCCATCCCCCAGGCAACACTTAGAAGAGCAGTGATCCCCCTGGAATGGACAAAAGACGTGGCTGTGTTTTTCTTTTTGGTACGAGGAGTCATGGCACCAACTGTTTTGGTTTTGTTACTTTTTTAACAAGTGCTCTCTATCTTATATATATTATATATACAAACACTCACCGAGACAAGGGACAGTGCTTTTCCAAGAGACTGATGAAGCCAGCTGTATAACATTGCTGTTTGTAAATTCATGTCATGCATAAATGTATTTATGTTGTAAAGCTATTTATATATTGTTTATAAAGAGATATTTATAAAAAAATTATTTATGTAACTAAATGAAAAGTTGAGCATTGTAACATTTTTTTTGTCCTAAGTAGTTGGAAAACTTTAAAAAAAAAATCATTCCATGTGGCATTTTGTAACCTGTCTTTATTTATCAAATTCACATACAATTTAAATGTCAGATTGATTGATTTTAACAGAGCTAAAGAAGAAATTGTTCAGATGTTTTAGAAAAGTCAGGAGTGAGAGAAAGGCCAGCTGATATTTTAAGCTTTGATCCCATATGCAAAAGTAAACTTGTGAATCCTGTGATGCCCTGATGGATCCAATGCTGCCCGGTGCTGCGAGCAGCTCCAAGCTTCCACAGAACCCAGCTGAGCTCATCCATGCCCAGATCCCAAATGGCACCCGTGGAACTGAGCCCACCACGTTCAACAACCGAGCCCCGGATCGACAGCAGGGTGACAAGGGCAGCATCTGGCCTAGACATGTTATAACTGCTTCCAGTCTGCAGGTTTGGGTCCAACTTTCACCCTGTAGCTATAATATTGTCACTGGGCGCCGGATGGAGACGCAGTCCCTGCTGACAGCAACAAAGAGCCCGCACTGGATCTGGCCCCCAGCTGCGCTGGTGGGAACAGAGCTTTATGCCAGAGGCACTGTTATTCCGGGATCCGGCAGCTCACTGAGTATCTTGTTTATATTCCCATTCGCCAGCCCTTTGCTGCTGAGCTGTAAAGTCCCTTCCTCCAGCAGAGATTTATTTAACTGTGTCTGGGACAATACGTAGACAGACCAAAATATACTGAGGGCTGCCTGGTAAGGATTCATGGACACAGCTGCTGCTACAGGTTCTTGCTATGTAAAGTGCATGAAATAAATCGTTAAAATGACTTGGAGCTCTAAAGGAAACAGCAAGCAAGGGGGCGGGGAGCGCAGCAAACATGCAAACGCCTGCATGAAGGCTCTTTGGTCTCATTCTTCAAAGAGGCCTTAGAAAAAAAGAGTGGCAGGCGCCCAGCCCAGCCGTGACAGGAGTCACAAATTATGCCCTGACCATTGTAGTGGGCTGGGAAACAACAAGCATTATGTTCTGCTGGGCTCCGGTACCTAGGACAGGGCAAAAAGAAAGTCACCAAGACCCAGAGGCAGAGCGATCCTTTTCCTTAGCAACCAGCAGGAAACCATAGAAACCTTCAGCCAGACTCACCCCAACTATTAGAGAACATTAGGTTTACAGAACAAGAGGATTCATTCAGACACCCGACAGCTCAATCATCAGGTTAGGGGCACACAGGTGACATTTCTAACCTTGCATGAGCACAGACTCCATCAGAGACAGGTACCCACCTCGTGGTGCCTACAGAGTCCAGCTGGACAGGGAGCAGCAGCTGATGGACCACATAAGATGTTGCCTATGGGGAACAAAATCAAGACCCTGGGAGGGAGGGAGGCAGGATGGGCCGGTGGCAGCTCAGTGCCCTACCCGAGGGTCAGCTGGAGCCCTCCAGAGCTGACCACAGGTAATGACAGGGCTCTGTAAGGCAAATACAACATTCTACAGCTTCACACATCTCTAGAGGGAAGGAAGGGCTAAAGAGATGCCCATTAGAGGGTACTGTCCACTGTCACCCAGCAAACCTAAGGGACAATAAGGAATTGCTTACTGTGCAGACCTTGCACACCAAGTCTGAAAAGAGGGTGTAAGAAGGTGGTGCTGCAGGTCTCTCTGAGTCCTGGTCCTTGAGCATGAAGCCAGAGTAGTGACCATAACAAAGTGCCAGGCTGGAACCAAGGTGGGGACAATTCCCCTTCCAGTTTTGGTTTTTTGCTGCAAGCCAGAGCTGGAATAAAATCACCTGCCTGGTGACAGAGGGGCTCTCCTCAACATGGTGGGGGGGACCCAGTCCAAGGAACTCAATCCACACAGTTTGACCACCCAAGTGAAGCAGAACCTCAGGGGAGATCAGAGATCACAGCCTGGAGTCATGTACGGTCTGGATTCCTGTTTCTCCTCTGCAGCATAGTCCAAGGGAAAAAGCACAGCATGGGTTCCTTCCATCCACTGGTAAAGAGCAAGGCCAAGGAAAAGGACAAAGCTGCATGGCAAAAGGACAGTTGCTTGGCAGAAGGAGAGGGATCAGAGTGAGAGCTCCTGGTGCAGAGGAAGAGGATAATAGCCTGGTTCCTCGCTTTACTGCTTCCACTCTGATCAGGGATAAGTCTCCCTGTCCCTCAGCATGTGGATTCCCACCTGCAGGACAGGAACACTGTGCCCACATGGGGGTGTGAGCTGATGTGCAAGAGAGAAGGCAGCACTTGGGGGTGAAAGAGCACTTGGGATAACTCAGATCCACTCAACCTCAGGCTCCCCATGGCACAGCCAGACTGGCGGGTCTGACAGGCAGAGTGGCACTGCCAGCAGAGGTCAGTTTCCAGAGCACTGATGGGCACCTTCCTCAGTTCAGTGGACAAGCCAGAACGGGAATCAGAAGCAGCTCCTCAGAGCACAGCAAGCAGCTGATATGGCCACAACGGGGTCTCCCTGATAGGGGCTCAGTAGCAAACAAGGGCAGCAAGAAAGAGGGACCACAGGAATCTAATTAAGAGTGCAGGAGGAGGCACTATGTGCAGCAGAAACAAATTGATCTCTGAAACATCACTGCCTCCCCTGTGGGCCAGCTTGATCAGATCCTCAAGACATCCAGTAAAAGGATCCAGGGTCAGCACTAAAAAACTCCCCTGCCACAGCCCAGCTCAGAGACAGCGTAATTGAACAAGAGATGTCCTGGATGCAAGCTGCAGCCTCAGGGGGTGGCATCTGACATCTCAACTGCAGGCTCAGAGAAAAGCATTTAGCAGGTGTGTGTCCACAGACCTGGAAGTGAGGGGGGCAGGAGTCCCAGGTTCCTCTGTCCACACTCAGCTCAAACTGGCACTCTCAGCACCTGCATGTTTCCTGCACCACCAGCCGAATGAGCAGTAGCCACATTCAGCTTCCAAGTGGTAGCACTTGTCACATGATATAAGAACAGCCTTGATTTCTCCTCTCAGGAGCTATTCCTAGCAGGAGTTGAGCCATAGGCCCCCAGCCTGAAAAAGCACACTGCTCTCTAGTGAAAAAGGACAAAGAGTTTTCTCCAGCGCTGTTATACAAGTGCCTGGCAAAGCTGGAGCAGACCTTGAAGCTCCCACAACAGGGACACAGTTGCCCTCTAATGTGTGGGAAATCAGTTCTCTTCCCCCAGTCCACATTACAACTTTTCCAAGGTATTTATTGGTTGAAGGGTTACAAAGCCCAGCTCAGGTGACAGCAAATCCCAAAGCAATGAAGAAAAAGAAAAGCCCAGAGCAGGAGAGCAAAGGAATTTTCCAGCTGGAAAGGGACTTGAGGCATTGAGCAGGGACTGCCAGGGGCAGCAGCACACATGCCCCTGCCACTTGCTGCAGGACTTCTCCAAGCATGGGCTGCTTCCCTCAGAATAGAGAAAAACAAAGGGAAGGGATCACAGGGCAGCTTCCAGAGGGAGCCTGAGCTTGACACAAGCGTGAGTCGAAAACAAGAAGGGAATTGAATTCAGGCCCCTTCCTGTCAGTCAGCAACTAACCTTGTCAGAAGGGATGGCAGCACTAACCGAATCAGGCAATTCATTAGGTTTGGGGCACACAGCAAAAGCCCACGCTCTCTGGAGCAGAACTACAGTGAAAATCCAGGGTAATGAGTTGCAAACTGCCTTTGTAAATGACACTTCTGCAGTGACTCTGGCAGGCTGGGAAAAGAGCTAATAGGAAAATCATTAGGTAGCATCCCTTTGATATTGTTGAAAACGGCACAGGCTATTTTTCCTGCCCCCTCCATAATTAACCTGGAATATTACCCATAATACTCCGGGCTGATATTCCCACAATGGACCACCTTATCTGCATCAGGAGAAAAGAAGGATATGCTACAGAGGAGGAAGATGACTTCTGGAAAAGCTTAAAAGGTTTAAGATTTCCCCCCTACTGATGCACATACGCATCAATTCCATCAGCAATGAACCTCTGCCCAGCCAGGAGACCAAAGCCCTTCACAAACCCTGTCACAGTCAGCACGCAGGAGCAAGGCTGTCCTGGGAAACACAGCTGTAGAGGAGCTGATCTGCCCAAGGTTGCTCTCTGCAACTGCAGCAGAGCTGGAACAGGACACAGCTCTGTGCTTTGCCCCTTATTTATAACGCTGTCCTTGTCCTTGACTTCCTTTATGCTACACCAGGCAATGGCCTGCACCTCGCGAGGTGCAGAACAGCTCTGAGGAGCAATGCCTACCCACCTGGCTTGTCTGCCAGCAGGGAGAGGTGTCATCTCACAGTCGTGATGTAAAAGGTACAGCATCACAGCTGGCAGGTGATCCTGAAGGAGCTGGTGCTCTCTAACAGCTGCGAAGGTGACAATGAAACACCGAGACGTTACTTACTGCAATAGCTCATCATGAGACTGACCAAAACATGAGGGGTGCTGAGATTAACTGCATCTCTGGGAAGAGTCTGGAGGGCTGGATAGCACTACTCCCAAACCTGAGACCCATGAAGATACAGCCTATGGTCAGACAAGCTCCAAATACTCGCAGAAAGGCTCATCCCTGACAGAGCGAGGCCTCGCTTACCCACCACAAACAGCTTTTCTGGAAACACTGAAGTATCATGTGTGATTACAGCATTTTAAAAATGCCCTAATGATGCAGATGTTCCAAAGCCTCTCTAGGAGACCTGGAGATCTGGAAGGGTGTCCCATCTTCTATTAGAATTACACTAAGCAAGTGCTACTGGCACAAATTCTTTTGTGCTCTGTGGAGAAATACACTTTTCAGGACTGTTAAATGACCCTATGGCATCCCATTACTGCCTGGAATTTCCAGTGTGTATATGCATTCACTGGAGCTTATAAAGAAAAAGCCGTGGTCACAGCAACCACACTCAGGCAATTTGCAACAGGGTATCTCCTGAGATGAAAACACTGTGGGAAAAAGAAGCGTCTGTGCCTGCGGATTCGGAGACAGGGAGCAAACTGCTGCTCTGCCTTTTCCTTGCCTGGTTCAGCAGTCAGAGAGGGGAATACCACCACGGGGACACTGAGAACAGGGTCAGCCCAGGCTAGGGGGTAAACATGCACTCTCTTTACCTCAATCACTTACCTCTGGTAGCTCTGTGGTAGGGCCAAACTTGATGAAATATCAGCAAAATGTCAACAGTCCCTGAGAGACACAGACCTTCATCATGGAGCAGAGTGAAACAATGACATATTTCTAAAAACTCTGCCGAGAAATTCAATCAGACTGTCAGGGTAAAACTCTGTATTAAGAATACAAGGTTGAGGTTACAAGCAGGAACTGAGATCACTCTAAACTTTAATTTACTTTCCCTGCTGCCCCTGGGTTACTCTCTCAGATTATACAAAAATATGCTATGTAGACTCAGGTTTTGGTTCCCTTGCATTAAGTCAGATGCTACAGAGGAATTAGTGGGGTGGAAAAAAAACAAGAGACTTTGTTTGGGACTAAGTGCCCAACATCTTGCTAGCTGGGCCTATAGGTTCTTAAATTTCTCCATTTCCCCATTTTTAAGAATGATAAAGAGCAAGGTTGTTTCTCTCCATTGTAGTTTGCAATTGGTTCAGATGCTGAAGTAACAAACCCCAGCACAGCAGCCCTACAAACACACAAGCTTGGACTGTTTTACCCTGCAGGGGTGGCTTTATGTGGTTTCCAGTTTAGCTGCACTCACATAAACTTGTAGAGAACTGAAAGTTTAGGAAAAGTCTGGGTTACCCATGTGATTTGTTACGTTCCAATACAGCTATCAAAGCTAAGGGCACTCTTCCTTCTGTCTCCCCTGCAAAGAGTAAGCCCGAGTCTGCTTCACACACATGAAGCAGAGCCTTTCACCCCCATAGGACAAGAACACTAAAACCAAAGCCACCCTCTGAGGTCTGTATCATTTTCCATTCTTACAGGAACTGAAAGCTGTTCAGCAAAATTCCCTTTGCAGGGCTGGTGGGAGAATGGCCAACTCTTTCTACCTACCACTGTCTCTAAAGGAACAAAAGCTTTGCTTTCCCCAGCTTCACTCTGGAGAGCAGCTGTGCAGGTCCTACTCCTGTACCTGATCCATGGAGAGAGATCTGCTAGCCCTGAGTGCAGCTCCAAAAGCACCCACCGGATTTCAGAAATCTGCACAAGACCAGTTGCAGGACTGGTCTGAACAAATCTGAACACAGAAGGGTCTGTCAGCATCACTGACTTTCCCTCCTGCTCTCAACACAAGACTAACCTGGCATTCAACTTACCTAAGAGGGTGAGGAGGGAAGTAAAAAATGAATAGATTTTGAGCCAAAACTTTTTTCTTCTGTAAAAGACTGACATCAGCATTGCTTTATCATATTCCAGAATTGCCTGATGTTAGCTGGTATCAACCGAGTCACAGCAGGAATGCCAGGGACATTTGTTAGCATGAGGCACAGCTTTAGGGCTAGGGCAGCCTACCAGCACTGCAATCAGCTGAGATCCTCTCTTCCATTTTCCAGCTCAGTGCTCAATTCCATATTAAACAAGCAGTAGTACAAGTGGAGCTGCAGAACACAAAGCTAGACAATAAAGCCCTGAAGAGCAAAAGGGAAGGCAGCTCCATCCACTTTGTCTCCCTCGGGGTGGAGGAGGCAAACAGAAGTTCAATAGCACAAAGTCTGCCCTGCTGCAATCTTGGAATGAGCTGCAGCTGGAGCAGCTCTTTGCTGCCATAAACCAAAGCAGGGCAGGACACTCTCCCCACACCAGGGAGCAGCGTCCAGCAGAGTCCAGCAGCGCTCAGACAAGCTGCCTTAGCTGCCTCCAGCAGGCACATGCGATACATGGGAGTTTACATCAAAACTGCCTTTGCTCCAACCTCCCTCTTATTCCCATAGCACAGTTAAGCTCCCCGGGCACTCCCCACTCAAAACTGTTCACAGTCCAATCCCCATCAGCCCCTAATTCATGCAACTCTGCTCCGAGTTGCTGCCCTTCCTGTAGTCACAGGGAGCCAACAGAATCTTTATCTGTTGTCCTTCTCAAACAGCACAGCACCTCCTGCATCCTTCCCTGTTAACAACTCTGCCTTCTGCTTCATTCCCGGAATAGCTTCTAACTCTTTCCTTCAAGCCAGATTCATTAACCAGCTGCTGCAGAGCTGTTTGCCTCCCCCAGGTACTCTGTGCATGTCATTTGTTAATGACTCATCTCAGCCTGGGCTCATCGCAGACACCCCCCTCCTTTTGCGGCACCAAGCCCGACGCTGGCACACCAGGAGAGCCAAACACGCAAACAGCTCCAGTCCCTCCAATACCCCAGTCCCTTCTCTGTCCTCTGTCGCCATCAAACATGGGACAGCTCTTTATTCAAAGTGCTATTTTCTCCCTTGCTTCTTTGCTGATCAAAGGCAATGTGTACCGAAGCATGAGTAAGATCCTCACCCCCAGCCAGGCTTTGAGAACAGCAAAAACGTAAGAACAAACTCGAAAACTTCCAACACACTAAAGAAGCTCCAGCAAACTAATGTGACTCCTGTAACTGGCAGGGAACAAACACCAAGGGTGCCAAACTCACATCTATTTCCCCAGCAGACTGTGGCTTGCTGAGGAGCTAAAAACAATGCCCAAAGGCATTTGTATTCCTCCTGCCTCTTTACAGGACTGATATTAAAAATGAGAAGGAAAGAAAACAGAGCCTATTCTCACCAGTCAAATTCAGTGAGGAACTGGACAACCAGTATGCTGCAGCTGTCCACACAGCAAGCCAGAAACAGACCCAATTCATCTCTATCACACAGATTTGGGGACACAAAGTCCACCTGCACGTCTCAGAAGCTGTCAGCTAAACACTGGGAGAAGTTGGAATAGGAACTAGTACTGCCAGTGCTTGGGGAACAGCTCCCCTGAGGTACAGGGGAAGGCTTTGTGCTCTGGACTTGCTCACTTAACATCCTTCCCTGGGAATATTTTGGCTTGCATTTCTAGGAGGACAGAGAGCTGGAAAAGAATGAGAAGCTTGATCAGAATCAGAAGCCTCTGCGACTTGACTCAGAGAAAGCTGGAGAGAGGTTATTTAGATCTACCTCTCCAGATTAAAAGCTAGTGTCCCTGCTCTGCAGGAGAAGAAAAGGAGAAGGATTTACTTTCAGAAGTGAACAAGTCCCGTGACTGAGGACTGCAAACATGCAGATGGCAAAGAGTCCTGGTAGCAATAAGAGGAAGGCACGTGCACTGCACAAGCAAGCACAGGTGACAGCTGGCTGCAGGACTGGAGGATTGTCACAGTCCTCTGCTTCAACAGCTCCCTTGCCCGTTCATGGGAAGCTCTTCCCTTTACAGAAGTGAAATGCAGGGGCCAAACTACAAAGCACACTCTGCTAGACCCAAAGGGAGGAATCGACTGGCCTAAGACAGAGCACAGCTACAAACCTTCCACAACCAGCCAAAGCTGTTTAGGTTCAGGACACTGGGCTCAGCTACCAGCTTTGCCACAGATCCTTCTGCACAAAGTTGGACAAAGGTGAACCACTGAAAAAACGTGAAGAGCGCTTCCCTGCCTCCCACATGAATAAGGGAGCTCAGTCACACCTTTGGATAACATACACCAAGAATCAAGTAAATTCTCAAGTGAACAAGTGCCACTAGACTACAAGCCTAAAGCAGCCTCAAAGTCAAGACTCCAGACTCTGACATTAAATCAGCATTTTTAATTTTTTTTTCTAAAATGTGCTTTTTCATGAATTGCTGTTCCAATGCTTCCCCCTTAAAAAAAACACAACCCCACACCTTGACAAACTAGGTGCAAATCACCTGAAGTTAGTCTGTAACAAATAAAAAAAACTCACAAAACAAAGGCTGAAATGCTTTAGAATCACAACAATGTACAAAAAACAAGGGAAGAAAATACAACCTGAAAGTGTTCAAAATTCAGTAAAACTAGTCGAGTCCATTGCTTCAGCAAGGGGATGCTGCTGCGACCCCTGCCAGTGGGTCCTGGGCCACCAGCCTGCCTTGATGCCAAACAGGCTCCCCTCCCGTGCAGACCACTGTCGCCAGCATCCAAGGAAGAGTGAATGCATTACCCTCCGAAGGTATCAATGGGGGAAACAACTCACAGGCAGCTCTGGGAGGTCACATCACATTCAGGAGGAACAATTTCTAGCATGCCCCTGACCACCTGCAAGAAGGAAGTCGAGAAAGAGCAGCCTGCTCCCTCCTTATTGTATTGATGCCTCAGAGATGCAGAACAGTGCTTTAAATCTGTGAGAGATTAAAGGGCCTAGTAAGGGCAGTAAACAGACAGTTAAGTAAACAGCCCAGCACTGGATCTCAGCTTCACAGAGCGAGGTAGTGTGAATTTCACCCCAGTTTAAAACAGAAAGGGGTAGCAGAAAGGCTGAAGACTACCATGTAAAGCAGTTCCTGGCCTAGAAACCTTCCTGCACTCCCTTTGGGAATGAAAAGATCTGTGTTGATGGCTTCCTCACTCCCAGCCTGGCTTTGGTAGCCACACTTCAACCCTGGGATTCAGACACTTGCTATAGAAGCTCTCCCAAGATCTGATTTAGTACAGCAGCTTCCTCAAGGTTAAGCAGCAATAAAACTAGCTGGGAGGGAGCAAAACTGTCCACAGATATTTTGGTTTTTTTCTGCCCCTTTTGGTTAGTCCCTTTCTTTAAAAGTCCCTCTTCAGAAGACCAGAACAGGGACACCCTGAAACTTCATAGGGGCAGCACAGTGTAACTTAGCCAGGTGCTGCTAACTGGGAGCTGTATTCAACAGGGCTTTTATCTGCCAGCCTGGAAGGGACTGGCCCAGAACCCACTGAAAAAGGAGTTGCAGGCCCTTTTTGCTCCTCCTGTTGTCATTCCTAACTGAATGACAATTTAGATGGTATGTTCTAGTGGCGGCTGGAGACCAGCCCTTTGACTTTGGACATCTTCTTTGTGGGCTGCCTTTGTTCTGTGTGTGGAGGGCACTCTCGCTCTACCAGCTGCTGTTCCATCTCCTGTGCCGACGACGAGGCTGTAGCTTTTAATGTTTTCTTTATGTTTGTGACCTGGCCAAGAAGAGACAGTGAATCAGCACCTGCTTCTTCCTCCCCTCGCAGCAGAAACTGTTCATAAACATATTGAAAATCCCCTGGAGTACAGAGTGGAGATTACAAAAGAGACTCTCCCAGCAGTAACGTGCTCTGCATTTGACTTTATTAAAGGTAACGTTTCATCCTCAATTACAGCCAGAGCTGTTAATATTTCCAGTCTGGGTCAAATACGGAATAATGGGGGATTCCTTTTTTTTTCTTAAGAGACAATGGCACAATATTTTGCCACCTTTCTTTCTGGCTGGAGGGACCTACTACTGCCTTGGTGCAGAAAGCAGCCATTGTACCTTTCTGTTGGCCAGAAGCAGGAAGGTGAAAGAAAAATTTACTCTTAGGACAGCACTTGAAAAGGGAAAATGCCATTTGACCTGGCTTGCTGGCTGAGCCACAGGTATTTGTTAGAAGCGGGAACAGAAACTGGTTTCATGGGAGGCAGCAGTAATGTTTCTGCTACTCTGGCTGAAAAGGAGAGATATGTCACCAGGTACCATCCTCTGTCCCCTGGAACTCTGTAGGGCTCACTACAAATACAATGAGCAAACTTTTAAAAAAAAAAACAAACCAAGGTTTGGGAGTCAGGTGCACCAACACCAGGCCAAAGGCATCTGGCAAACCAAACGTGCTATGGATGCCGATCGAGCCGCCAAGCACATGTAAACATAAACCTGCAGGGATGCAGCACTTTGCAAGAAATAATCCCTGATCCAGAGCCTCGGGAGGCCCGTTCCCACCCGGGTTTGGTGGCACGGGCCGGGCCGGACCGCGGGCTCGTGCTGCCACCTACGGGCGGGAGCGCGCAGGGCCCGGCCGGGCCGCCCCGACCCCCGGGGGAGCTGCGGGGGCACTTTTTGCAAAAGCAACGAGCTTCCAGAGATTTTTGTTAATCACACTTTCAGGTGCAAACCAAAAAGAAATGGTTTATTTTTTCCTTCCTGCCTGCCTCGTAGGAAAGGAACAGAATTGTATCAAAGCTTTGTGCCGAAAGCACAGTTTTCCACACAAATCAATATAGGACAACAGTTAGTGCAGTCACCTGCCCTAAATTTATAAAAATGTATCAAGAAAGATGCAATCTGCTCACAGTGGGCAAATGTGTTGTTTGTGGTCTTACTAGCACTCAGAAACAGCCGTGTTTTCTTCCTACTCCACACCTTATTTGCATGATTGCCAGAGAGCCATGACCATCAACCAGGTGTTACCAGATAATTTTCTTCAGCAAACAAACACTTATCAAACAGCATAGAGCAGCCTGAAATTAATCTGTACCCACCTCCATCTCTACCTGCTGCTGAGTTCTGTGATGGTTCTCTTTGTACTGGTTGGCTCTAAGTACTTGCTGCTCAATTCCTAAAAGAACTGCCTCACAACCATCGCACCTGCAAGATACAAACGATGTCAGTGTCTGCGAGTCCTCTCTGGAGCAGCTCAGTCAGGCACTGAAAAGTCACACTCATCCAAAAGTTTAAGAGATTATTAAATTTATACCTCCTGCTTAGAGCTGCAAAAAGCTGGCAAGAAAAGCTTTGCTGCATACTCAACATGTTTCACAGCATTCTCCAGAGAGTCTGTGTTACTTTTACCATCAAAGAGTAACGGCAGGTTCAATGTACTTTCAATCCTTCTTTTCAGTCAGAATTACAGCTTAAACAGGGATGCAACATATAATTTAAAAGTAAGAAAAATTTTAAAATTAAAGAAAAAAGTGATACTGAAATAACTGTTCAAATGACAAGAACTCGGGACTGGAAAAGACAAAAAGAGAACTGGCAGTGGGTTCACTGTTACCTTCCAAATAGGGCTGTAAGGTCCTGGAAGCTGCCAGAGCCCTCCTGCCATGATGGGACTGAGAGAGCTGGAGTAGAGAAGCAAAAAACCTGCCCCAACCTCAGGACAGTGTATTTACCCACCAGTTTAATTACTTTTCATGTGCTCATTACCACAGCAACTAGGAAGCAATTCCCAGTCAGCTCAAGACCTGCCACAGGCTCCACAGTCTACAGGGGAATTTCTCTCGGGGAAAGGAGTCCTATAAAAAGATGAGAAGCAGCTCCTGGCAAAGATACAAAATGATAATACCACAGCCCCACTATGGTTGCAGGCAGCAGTGATTCCCTAGAATTTGCCCACATAGTTCTCATCACAGTGAAAAAGGTTGTAAAGTTCTGTTTTTGTTATCAAGTGTAATAGCAGGAAGGGGAGTAGCTCCCACCACAGGACCTTGAGTCCAGTTTGGCACCTCTCTCTGCAAAGGCCTCTACTCCTCGCTGGGGTCTTGCCATGTAAAAGCAACAGTGTGAGCAGAAGCTCACAATGTGGTAGTTTGGCTTGATACATTACACAAATTGAATCCCAGATGGGATCTTGGAAAACTTGCCCAACAGACTCCTCCTCCACGTGCCGATTTATAGCACAAGACTCCTGATTAATGGAACATGGTGAAATTGAGCCAGCACTTGAAACTGAGGATAAGCTAAAAACAGGACAAGCTATGTACAAGGAACAAGAAAGGTAGAGAGACTGCCTCACCATTCCTGGAGTGTTTTGACAATGTTACTGATGTCCTTCTTCTGAATGTCTCTACCAATACAAAAATCCACCTCTAACACCTGGTTTCGTTGATCCAGCTTCCCCTGGATAATATCTGTATAAACCGCTTCAATAATCAGATCTTCCAGCTCCCTCAGATTCCTCATATCCAGGTCCTTCAGCAATACGGAATAGGGAATGCACTAAAAACAGCAAGACCAAGAATAAGTTAACAGTCCTAGAGCCAAAAATGAACAGCTAAGTCTCAGAAGGTCAAGACTCAAACATTTATTGTATCCTACACTTTAACCTGCACAAGCAGCAGTGACTGTGGCAGAACAAACACCTGCCAGGCCATGAACTATTCTGTCACAACTTCAGTAATTCCTGAAGCTTTGGTATTAGCACATCACAGAAGAAAAAAGGTAATGGGATTGCAGAAGAAATTAAGTATTGCTTAGCCTTCTCTAGAACAAAAAGTCAGTGTTTTTAACTATGATTCTCCGTTTCCAGCAGTGAATGAACTATACAAAGTTTCCCAGGCCTTCCTGACCAATTTGCATGTCAGTTCAGACACACTTATACCTCATCCATGGAATTCCACTAGGCTAATGTCCCATATGCACCAGGAGAGAACACTAAACCAAGAGACAAGTGCTGTCACACTCCAGGCATGTTACCTTCATTCGGGACGCCAGGCTTACGATCGTCAAGTGTTTCAGCTTGTTCTTCTGAGTCACTGTTAATTCAGGCAGGTTGTCTTTGTTTGCTGTTAATGTCAAAAAGACAAGATTCAGGACTCTACTTCAGAAATTATATAACCCAGGCACATTATGCTACACTAAACCCTGGAAGGCTGAACTCCTCCAGCAACTGTGGGTGCTGGTGAGCAGAGAGTGCTGCTGCTGCAGACAGATTGGCACACCCAGAGAGAGAGGGGAAAAGTTAAAAACAGCTTGACAATTCCATCCTTCTCTGCTTCTTTAGTAATTCTGGTTCTGGAATTAGAAAGTAATTCACAAGTGGTGCCCTGCCAAAACAGTTGGTCAATGTTTTGTTTCTAACAAGTAATTTTTATTTCATTAACAAGCTGGCAGAATAAAATCTTCCTCCCTGGCTAATCTGTTTGCAAATACAGCTGGTTTTATTTCTCTAAAGAACTGCAGAATTTAGAGTTGAAAGTGTAAAGTACCAGGCTGAGGAAGAGAGGAAAAATTATTAATCTAGATGGCCACACCGTCACTGTATTATATCCATGTGCCTCATGAATATTTAAAAACAGAAAGGAAACTGGCAGCTCTCCAAAGCAAAAAAACTCTTTAAAATATCTACTTTAATGGAAATGAATGTTTCAGGGCCACTCAAGTTCTCCCATCCATCCCACCTCATCTAATGCTCTACACTTTGACTACTTTTACCCATCTCTCTTTCTTCACTAGAAAAGGAAGAACGATCTGTGCTGTCACATGCTGGGACAAAAGAGCCATGAAGAGAAAACACATCCTCTAATCAGTCACAGAATTCATGAGGCTCATGTTGCTCCACAGCCACTGGAATTTCCAGTCCTTGCACTTACAGATGCCACTTCTCCTTACAGGGACTAGATAGCTCATCCACCACAGTGATAGCCAGCACTATGACAGAATTCTTTGTCACGCTCTGTAATGGTCTGGATGAGGCTGCTACTCACAAATGAAGCATTAAATTGTAGCAGAATGGAAGCATAAGCACCAGAGATAAAAGCATATTTTGACAGATACAAAGATGATTCACACATAGTCCTTCTGAAGCTCTATAAAAGTCATTATTTCAACTTCTATTTTAGCTAAGAAATTCTTTATTTTGTTTCAGCAGAGCTGTCATGAAATAAAAGGTTGTCTCATAAACCATATAGGTTTTTATAAATAATGCAGAACAATTTTGTCTAAGTTTTCTGCAGTTTCCATAACCGGTGTCATCTAAATTTCCAAACACATGTCTGAAATTGCTCTCTGCAGAGGTAAGTGGTCAGTGAACATCAACAAATTCTGCTACAGACCAATTCCATCCAGCACTGCAGTCCCATAAAAAACCAGTAACACACCACGGTCTCTAGCCCTTCCTTTAATTTTAGCAATTAAAAAGCACAGAGGACCCAGAGAACCCCTACAGAGAACTCTCCTCCCATGCAAATTCTGTTCTTGGACACTTTCCCCCAGCCACACTCCACCAGGCATCACAGAAAGCAAGGAACTGCCTCTGACAATCCCAGAGGGCAGCCCAGCCCCGCCCTCTGCAATCAGGCAGCAGTCTCTTACCTACATAGTCTCGGTATGTTCCGTACGCAAACAGGTTCAGCAGCTGGAAATAAGCAGCATTGGACCCTTCAGCAAGCTGGGTGGGGAGAAAAGAAATTTCACATTAAACGGTAACAGTCAACACAACCCTGATAATCAACTTCTCCAGAGAATGGTTTAAGCCTGCATAGGACAAGAAGTAGCCAGAAAAGCAATTACATCTCGGTCTTAAAGAGCTGGACTCTTTCTAAGGGCTCACAGGCAGCAGCAAATTTCAGCAGTTTTAGAGTCAAGGTGATCCAGCCATTTCTATGCACCAGAACATAACTAGAGTTTGGGCTGTCAACTGCTTTGTACAGCACCTCAGGAAGTAAAAGAAAGAGGCAAATCTTAATTTCAGCTGACAACCTACAGGGCCAGCTCTTCTCCTCATGTGATAAGCAAGCAGGCAGTGGTGATGGCTGGTTAAGCATCCTGGCTATGACTGTGAAAGCTAAGGCAGCTCACCTGCAGAGCCACCACAGCTTCAAAGCAAAGCAAGCTGGAACGCTGTGAGTTGAATGCATTTGAACACTCAAATGTAACAGCATTCCTTGCCTGCAAACACTTCAATGGAGTAACAGCGGCACCAAGCAGTGATTTTTATTGATTGGGGTTTTTTAATAAAATTTGCTGCACACAAATCCAGGGGAAAAAAAAAAAAGTCCTTGTGATTTGATGCTGAATAACCATAGAGGCACTTCTGGGCATAATTAAGAGCCTGTCTGGAAAGCCAAACTTGCTGCACACTGCATTATTCCAGCTGCAGAGATACTCAGCTTAGATTCCCTCACTGGAGTATAGGCAGGGGCTGGCAAGGCATTCTCAGCAAAAGCTCTGGAACTTACTTTCCATCTTGGTTTGAAATGGTTTGGATTTGGTTACCACCCAGGCCTGATACACTAGACATCTGTTCACAAAGACTTTTGGAGAGCATTGAAGTTCTGCTTTCCAGGACAGCAAAGGAATAGAAAGGGATTTTTTTTGTTGCTGGCTGGCTAAGTGCCTTCCTAAAACTGTTACTGTGCTGTTGCCAGATTTTTGTTGTGCTAGCAATTGCATTAAGGTAGCAAAGCTTTATATAGGTATTTTTTAACACCTAACATATACAAGGCAAAAGTAAGGTCAGTCTCTCACACACAAACATCTCAGAACCAACATAAGTCGCATCAGGCCCTTCCTGGCACAGAAATTTCATGCACAGGCTGTGTGTGGAAATTTCTGGGGATCCCTCATATTGGGGAAGTGCAGAAAAGGGCATTAGGATGGAAACTCATCTCTTACCTCCTGCACGTTTGTTAACTTCAACAGCTCTCCAAAGACATAAACCCCAGGAGCCTCCAGCACTTGATTTATAAGAGCAGTCAGAGCTGAGCCACTTGTACCTTTGGCCAGTAAAATAAACTGCTCTAGAAGATTGCAGGACGGTTTCTGTTCTCCTGCCATTCTCAGTTTTCAATCTGTCAATAAAAGAACATAATATTAATACATCCCTCCTCCTTTGCCGAGTCCTGGCAGTGGACCAGGAGCTGCTGAGCTTGTTTCAGTGTCAGCAGAGCCAGGCTCTTCTCCTGCACCCAGGGGCAGGCCACAAACTCAGCAGGTTCAACTGCTGATTTATCTGGGGAGCAAAAATGATTCACACAGTATCTGAGCAAAATTTCTGTCTGCTCAGTCCCCTAAAAGGATCTGCTCTTGCCAGTAGAAAAGGAGTTTAGATTTCATGCTGTTTTCAGATTTTCCTTATACTGATGCTGCCAATTAATGCCAACTGTGAAGATGCTTATTGATACATCTATTAGAGGTCAGCTGAGGCTTCCTCCTTCCTCATTACACATCCCAAAACCAGCCACTAATATAATTCCCTGTGAAGGACTGATCCACACTGTATGGCCAGACACTACACCTTTTCCTTTTACACTGCCTACAGATAAAGTGTGTGCACATAATTCCTACTGCTTTCTGAGCCCAAAAGGCAAAGAGATCTGGCCTGTAAAGCAGCTCAACAGTCTGCACCGCACAGTTCAAGTGTTTTGGGTTAACTGGAAAGCTCAAGTGATAAAAATACCCTGTCTACAAAGGCTCTATTTAAGTCCCTGTAAAGAGAGGTCTTTGTCTTCCTCCGCTGCCTGACATTTCTGGTGTGCATGTTGTCTCCCAGCACCAACATGTTGTTTTTGAAACCTAAACCACTATTTATTAACAAGTTCCACAAAACGAGTTGTTTGTTTACAAACAACTGAGACAAAACTTCCCAAGCATGTTATTCAGACAGCAAACAACTTGGCAGATAAGGGGGGGAGTTGTGCTATGTTTGTATGGGATAAGTATCAAGTAGAGGGTGTAACCTTTACTCTGGTGAAGAAAATCAAACAATCAGCAGAGAACCAAACATCAGAGATTGTGTCTGGTTCTATGTGACCACCGGGCCCACATTGTGGGGGGAGCACAGTCACACAGGGGTTTCACTGTTTCACCAGGCCTACCCAAATTAAGGCTTGTGAAGCCATCGCAACTTCCTGTATTAGTCAACTTCTAAAAATACATTTTACCCTGCTATTTTACACCTCAATGGTCTCAACCTGAGCAGACAGCATTTCACACTCTGCACACAGAGATGTCTCAGCTCTTAGTGTAAATCCTCTTTCCATCAGAGGCACAAGTGCAACACGAGAACAGCACCTCAGTGCTGACTGAGAAATCCCTGCAATACAGTAACACTCAGTGTGGGCTCCTCATACACCAGTGCTGCCCTCCCTACTCATGGAGAAGAAACAGACACAGAGGACAATTTCCTCAAGAGAGCACACGGACTGGGAGGGCTGGGGATGGGATTCAGATACCTCGGTTCCATTGTTTCTCCCTCACAGGTAACCAAACCACATGCTGGAGTGTGAGGTTACAAAGGACTGGCTGGTTGCATCCATGCCCTGATAGGGAAGAAATGCCAACCATTTGCCCCTACCCGAGTACACGTTCAGACAACAGCGGTGCTATTGCAACCTGTCCGCACCCCGGGAATACCTCGCTGCTTCCACAAGCGCCTTATCCTGGTGAGAAGTGACTGAAATACACAAAACACTCCAACGGAGCTTGGCCAAAGCCTACGACAACCCGCACACGGGGACAAACCAGGCTTCTCTCCCGGTCAGGCCTCTCTGAGGGGGTTTCAGGGCGGGAAGCGGCCCGCAGACCCCGCACAGGGAGGTGGGGGTTTCCCGGCCCTGCCGTCCCTCCCCAGACCCCCGGCAGAGCCCCCGGGCCCCACCGAGCAGGCCGAGCCCTTCCGCAGGGGGTGATATACCGGGGGATCCCTCAATGCCGCCTGTCCCGGCGTTACCTGTCGGCTCCCGCTCTCGCCCGTGCTGCCGGGTCCGAGCGCGCGCCTCAAGGCCGCCATGATGGCGGCGCGCGGTGTCCGCGGCGCGGCCTTCCCCGGAACGCGCGGGCCGCGCCGAACGTTCCGCCCCAGCCCGGGAGACCTCAAGGACCGGGAAGTGCGTCCCGGCATCCCTCGGATACCGCGATAGGCACGGCGGGATGGGTGTGCTGGCGGCCGTAGAACCACGGTCCGGCGGCCCTTGGAGCAAACTTTCACCGAGGAGCGGTTTCAGCACAAGCAAGGGAAATTCCCGCCTCTGCTTTTGGGGGTACGAGGTGCGGTGGCGGCATCGCGGGGGTTTGCAGCCCCAAAATAGCCTGTGCGAAGGGTCACCGTGGTCAGGCCACTTCGTCATTGGAAGTGGGGCCATTATTAGATGGAATGGTTGCACGGGGCACTGGAACAGGCTCCGCAGGGAAGTGGTCACAACCCCAAGCCTGGCAGAGCTCAAGGAGCATTTGGACAACGCTCTCAGGCACATGGTGGGGTTCTTGGGGCTGTGCAAGGAGAGGATTTGGATTTGATGATCCTTAGGGGTCCCTTCTAATTCTAGTTATTCTATGAATCTGTGATTCTATGTGGAGGTTAATGGGCATGTGATGGGATTCTTGGAGTTGTCCTGTGCAGGGCTAGGACTTGAGCTTGAGGATGTGAGTCCCTTCCCACTCAGGATATTCTATGATTCTACCAGCCAAGCCTCTCAGGCCAATCCTCCTGGGAAATGCCAAGAAATGGGGTGAAAGATGACATGGTGCTAGAAGTGATTTTAAACTCCATAGAAAAATGATCCATACAAATGACAAGCCAAAGGGGCAGAGCTCTGGCTGTGATGTGAGGGAGCAGGGAGGGAGCTGGAAGGGTTCAGATCCTCTCCAGGACACAGATCAGGAGCCGAAAGACTCTTGAGAGGGTATAAGAGCAAGGGTGGAAACGAGGGAATTGGGTTTTTTTCTGTCACGGAGGCCTGTAGGCTCATCCATGCCACGCTGTGAATAAAGTGTGCCTCTGCTAAAAATCCTTCAGCCAAGAGCAAAGTGCTTTTGGCTTTCAGTCAGCCAGTCCCTGAAGATCAAGTCATGGACCAGCATAGTAGGAGGGGGGAGCTTTCAAGGAATGAACATCAGAAATTATTAGGGAAACTGATAGGGCTTATCCTGTGCCTCAGAGCCACCCACAGCAGGTCCCCAGGGTCCCGTTGTCCAGAGAAGGGATGCCAGAGAAGCACAGAGATGCAGGTGTTGGAATGCTGTTGTGACACTCTGGGCTTCAAAGCAAATTGGATGTAAAAAAACAGGCCCTGCACAGCAAGGGAACTCAGCCAGGGCTATAACAAGCCATTCAGTAATTTACTTAAGCCACACTTAGCTCCCATCTGCATAGGGAGGGAGAATTACCTCTTTAATCTCATCCTAACCAGGCCCTTCCCCACGGTTTGTGTTGGCCCAGACGTGCTGGAACAGTGGCCTTGGACAAGCAGTGCGTGGCCTCCTTTGTCTCAAGTCTTGTTAAAGCTCAGATCCCAGGCTGAAATAGAAATGGAAATATATGATTGTGAGCTATTTTTCATGGATTGGTTTTGCAACCTCTTGCTACAGCCTGTGGGTAAAAATCAGCTATAAGCCCCATGTAGGTCAGCCAGGAGGGCCTGTCCTGCGCAGAGAGATGTTAATCCATTTTATCTTTTAATGTTGGCATTATCTCTTGACTCACCCCATCTCTTCCCCTTGTGATTCTGCAGTCCAGGTCTCTTTTAGGCAGCAGATAATTCAACTAATTTCTCTGCACTGCCTGAGCAAAGAAACCATAAATCCAGAGTAACATCCCCAAGCAGTGGAGTCGTGAACCCCCAGATTTTGAGAACACTTGGCCTCACCAAGGAGAGGGCTGACAGGGAAAGTACTTTTGTGTTTAAGTTTTCCTTTCGCAAATGAGGTGGTTTAAATCAAAAACTCTTGTGAAAAGAATTCATGCACTAGACTAAATTAAGCTGCCAGGATTAGGACCTGGTTCCTAAAGTGTCTGTAATAATTTTACTTCCCAACAACTTATAGCAAAATAAAATCAACTGTTGGCACCATGGCATTATAGGAGCAGGAGCAAAGGCACCTGCACATGACTGAATGGCCAGTAGCCCTAGGGGAAAGCTTGGCTACATAAATGCTGACATCATCCCAGGTGCAGTTTATTCCTCATCTGTGTGTGCTTCCCCCATGCTTCATCCATTCATCCTCATTCCTTCCAGCCTCGTAACCCCTGCAGCTGCCAGCACACACCTCCAGAGCATGGAGTGATAGGAGCTGTCAAACTCTCTGCATTTCCCAGGATCCAGACACTCAGCTGCTCGCTGGACTCTCATCTCACACCTTGGCAAGGCAAAGAGTGATGTCTGGGTGGTTGCATGTGTGTGGTTGTACAACCTCTTCCATCAAGTGTGGGGTGAGATGAAGCCCCAGTTAATTACACTATCCCCCAGTTATGCTGCTCTGCAGAAACACCACCTTGTGTACCTGCACCTTGAGAGAGCAGCTGCTGGGGAAGCAGAAAGCAGGCTGGAGGTGCCTTCTCACCTGCAAGGGCAGCTCAGGAACTGCTACACCTGCCAGAGACATGAAAGCAAAGGGGAAGTTTTCAGTTCAAAGTGGCACCAAGGGATGGTGAGACTTGCAGCAACCTTCTTGCAAATATTGTTAAGATTGCAAAGATTGTTAAGACAAGTGCTGTTTGTGTTAATGCAGCCCAAGGATTTTGCAAGGAGATCCCAGGGTTTCTGTCACTCTGAGTTGTGCTGTCACATGTTCCACTGCTGCTCCTGCCTGCAGTAGTCACAAGAGCTTCACACTTCAGCCATGAGCTCTTTAGTGATTTTCAGAAGTTCAAAAATGAGAGGCCTGTGCTTCCCTACATAGCAAGGCAAACTTGGGAATTCTGAGACTTGGCCAGAAAACACAAAGGTTCCAACTCAAAATTCCAGGAACACTCCTACCCCTGTGGTACAGAAGCCCTTCAACACTGCAAGAGTTCCTCACCTCAAGATCCATTTAGCCTCAGCTCCTTCATCTCTGAGGAGCCTGAACAGAAGCAGGATTGAGTTCCTTATGTCTTGTGTAATCCAGCATGTCCTACTTCCTTCCACCTGGCAGGCTCTTCTTCCCCACACAACCATTTGTTTCTGCCATCTTCAAGTCTGCTTTTTTCTCACTTATCTTTTATCTTCACCAGGCTTTTCTCCCCAGTGGCCTTTTGTCCCTTCTCCTTAGACAGCATGCCATTCCACAGCTTAGGTAAAACCCAGGAAAGACTCTTTAATACAAGATAGATATATATTAGTATAGGGCACCCCTGGCTCTCAGCCCAGACTCAAAATGATCCCTTCATACACTTTCAACCGGTGGTGTGGAACTGAGCATGAATCACACGCATCATGGAAATAAATGATGCCTATTTTTATTAAGGTCTCTTATTGGTGATACTGGCAGTGGCCTTGTCCTTATGCATTAAACACAGCCTTTATTAATGTTCACATTCTCCACTTTTGTACAGTGGCTGATTTGGAAGCAAGTCAAGCCATGAGTGAGTGTATTGATGTCACCCTGAATGTTCACTGGTCCTGTTTTGAACCTGGATTACAACTGCTGCCTTCATCATGACTTAATGCTTTGTATCAGTTGCGCTCAGATTGTTAACAGAAGGGTTAATTTGTTCACATTAAAGAACAGCCTGTCTCCTGGGATGTGCTAAAAAACCTGAGACTTTCCCCCACAAATGACTCTGCAACAAAACCATAAAGGCCATAAAGATGATTAGGGGGCTGGAGCACCTCTCCTATGAGGAAAGGCTGAGAGAATTTGCATTGTTCAGCCTGGAGAAGGCTTCAGGGTGACCTTATTGAGGCCTTTCAGTACCTGAAGGGGTCCTATAAGAAAGCTGGAGAGGGACTTTTTGCAAAGACATGTAGAGACAGGACAAGGGGAATGGCTCCAAATTGACAGAGAGCAGGTTTTGATTAAATAAGAAATCCTTTACTATGAGGGTGGTAAGGCAATGGTACAGGTTGGCCAGATGTAGATGCCCCATCCCTGGAAGTGTTCAAGGCCAGGCTGGATGAGGCAGGTTCTAGTGGAAGGTGCCCCTGCCCACGGCAGAGAGGTGGAACCGGATGGTATTTTAGCCCCTTCCAACCCCAACCATTCTGTGATTCAAATTTCTGCAGCACAAAGAAGGCTGCCCTTGTTCCAAGGGAAGCATACTATTTATTTTAAACCTTCTCTATAACGCTGGTCCCGTTGGCTCCAGCCCCAGGATGCGCAGAATCACAGAACTGTCGGGGTTGGGAGAACCCTCTGGAGATCACTCAGTCAAGGCACGGTACCCTGGAGCTCGTGACAGGGGAACTCGTCCAGGTGGGGTTTGAACGTCTCCACCAGAAGCCGCTCTGGGTCTGAGCGCCGGGGTCCCCGGCACCACCCGGACTCAAGGCTGGA